AATTTAGCCATTTCTCCAAATTTGTCAACTTTTGCTTATTTTCTTCGATCTCACCAACTTACATCACAACATCAAAATCACACATCTAATTATTTATCAATTACATAAACATTACATCATTAATTATTTAATAAACCAAAAAAATTACATCTTTATTAATAACAAATTAATCCTTAAACAAAACTATTAAATATAAACTAGGCAAACGTGCATTGCACGTTGCTTCCATCTAATGTATATATAATCGTCCTTCAAGATTTCTTAATCAAATTCAAGAAGTTTTGAAGTCCTTTGGTATTATGATCAAATTGAAATAAAACATTTTATTGAGTCTTCAAAAAGGGGTTTTCCTCATTTTTGAAGCATTCGAACCCTTGACGAGTAAGACTGGATAAAATAGTCTCGTCGAGAGTGGTCCTATATTTTCAAATTGTTATTCAAAATTTTCAATTAACCTTTGAGATGGAGCTATACTAAATGCTCTAAATCTTCAAATTCAAACAACGAATTTTGACGTTGAAAAGCTTTTGCTTTAATATATCGAATATATTACAAGCTTTTGAAGAACTCATATTAATATATATATTTCATCGATGGAGAATCACATTAAATTTCCTGTGAACACTGTCAAATTTGGAAATTTTCATGACAGCTGACAAATCACTTTCACTGTCTCTTTATGCATGTGGGTGTGGTGGGGTGGGTTGGGGGGGGGGAGCTGGGGGGCTATGGAGCCATTGGGATGTGACTATCAACGAACCAAGCTCCATCGCTTTTACAGATAAATCATTTGTCCGATATATATATAAGTTGGATTTTTCCTTGGAATTGAATGTATAATAGGTAAAACAAATAAAACAACGAGTAATGAAGTGATGAAGTTGATGGATGATCTACCCCTTCTCATTATTCATTCGTTTAAATGTGTACATCGTCTTACCTCTGCAAAAAATGGTGGGTGGGGTCGAAGGAACCATTTATATACAACTTCCAGGAGGAGGGTTTAGTAAATTTAATTTTTTTTAGTTGCAGCTTGCCTGTATGACTCATTGATAATAGTCAACGAATCATAGGGTGGTGAATTTTCGAACCTTGTACACACCATCCGCCATACAATGAGAGATCACTATGCCTAAAGTTGTTACCTTAATAGAAATGAGGAAATATTGAACACAACTAAAAAGTAGTTTTTTTTTACAAGATCACGTATATGACAAGTCGTTTTTTTTTTTCTTTCTTTTTTTTTTTTTCATGAGTTGCACATCATTCATAAAAAAAGTATATGTTATAAGTGATTGGTCACATTGATTATTATCCTCAGTAATTATAGGCTATAAATGTGCCAGTATAAAGACAGTTATTTCTCACCTGAGAAAGGAAAAATTACACATTAAACCTCAATACACGATGATCATAATGTTACATTATCGCATTTGTTTTTGGATACAATATTGTATCCCAAAAATACAAAAAATGGCAACATGAATCAAATTTCCAATCGAACTAGAAAACTGAAGTTATATAATGTTATAAATTTGCAATTTGAGAATTGGAAGTATTGGAAAAATGTAAACCTAAAATAATGATATGATCACAAGACAAGTTACAGAAGTGCAGCAATGAATGTAAAGAACGGCGTTTGAAGAGCAAGAAAGGAATGTAACGAGAGTTTGGAATGAAGAAATAAATGAAAGTGGTCCTCGAAAAGGAATGCCCAAAATTATAGGATACATGCCGGAGATTATTCACATGTTAAGACAACTAAGCGATCAATAAATTTTACAAATCTACACACACTTGATATTACATTTATTAGCTTCGTCTCGACTTCCTATGTAATATTTGTTAACGGTTAATTTTAATCCTATTGGGAATGAACAACATTACTCTATAATTAATAAACCTATTTTATGACGTGGATGGAGATTACATTTGTCATATGGAATTATGAAATGGGTCTTCTTGAATATACCTGAATGAAGACAAAGTCAACTATCTTGAAGTCAACCATGTGGCCTAGTTGATTGGCTAATGATTCAACGAATCAACTTCTCTCCATTGATCTATAACATCGTCAAGGGGAGAGTGATGCAAATAGTTCTTAAATTTAAAGACTATAGTCCTTTTTTGGTCTTTTTTTAAATTTATTTTTAATTGTACATTCCTTGAATAAGATAATTAAACGTGGATCCATATCTTTTTTTTTTCTACATCAAACAGACTCATAATTATAGTTTAAGAGGAAAAGTCTGTTGAACTCGAAAAGAAATATATTCGTTATTAATGGACTCGGTCGTTTGTTAAGAATACGAAAACAAAAAAGAATAGGTTAAAAAAGAGGTTTGATAATTGCTAGGTCATTTCTTTTATTATTCTCTTATCCCTTCGTTGAGTGATTCGATTGATACTTTATTTATGTAAAGCATTAACATCGAAGAACTGTTGTCACCAATAACGATAAACTAAGTTGTAAAAGTCTTCCATACAAATATATGGGTAATTAGTATTAAGGATAGAGTCCAAATCGAATAAATATGAAATAAATACACAATGTATGTGTTCCCCTCTTAATAACGTTTAGATTTCAAAATGAAACTCCAAATCAGTACTCAATAAGTGCAAACGAGCAATTCAATCTGACACGAATTTCAAAATTGATATGCTAAAAAAAGCGATCGCCATTTCGCAGGACATATATCAAGGGTAGAATATCATATCGAATAAATATGAACAAATAAACAATATATAACGACTTGAGCTACTCTTAAGACTTTGAGATAGAATCTCAAAATCTTAATAACTATCATACCAACTAATCGAGCGTCTTGTCACTAGCTTGTAGAAAATAGCAAGGCATCCCTTTCATTAAATGGTGAAAATAATTCGGTATCTTGTAAATGTAGGAACAATTTCCGAGTAATTGTGCAGAACATGGTCTCAGTATTGTATAATTGAAGAATTTCTTGTTCTATTCTTGTTTTCAACCTGCAGGCCAAGCAATTCAAGACAGTTATTGGTTACGTATCAAAGTCGTTGGTCTAGCACGTCCAAGCCCAATAACCTTTACGCGTCGTTTTCTTTCCGTGAAGGTCGTCCGATGATTCTACTTTAGATAAATAACTCTTCCTTGAAAGCAACTTATAATTATAACTACGCTGTACTATTCAAATTGCGATTATATTGAAATTTTCATTTGTAAATTAAGATACAAGAGAACTCCTGAACAGTTCTTGAATGGCGACGAGTCGACTATGGGCAAAGTCGTCTTTCTTCTTGAAAGAGGATAGATTCGTAGTATGCGTATAAAAATATTATCCACATATTAAATATAATCTATGATCAAACGATTACTTCTAAAAATTAATAAGAATAATATTGTATTTACAGTCGCTCACTATATATGTGTATGTGTGTATGACGGTTAATGATTTGATGCATAAAACAATAAAAAAACTAACATATTAATGCATCAAATCACTAACCGTCACATATATGTTGGGATTTACAAGAGTTCATATTCATGCAATTTATAGCAATGTCCTAAAGGCTATTGAAATTCAGTTTACGATGTAATTACCTTAAAAGTGCAGGCATTAACTGTCATTGACCCATTCATGTAATGATTAATTAGTCTTAATCATAGGATAAATAGAAAAATTCCGCAAGAGCATTAAAGATTTTCTTTGCTTCAACAATAAGGTACATTATAATTCCCTTATTATTATTTTTTTATTTTTACCGTAGAGTGTCACTATAAGTTAGAATTAGCCTATATAAGTTAAAATATAAGCAAACAAATTACCTAATAAAGTAATAAAATTTAATTGGTCAAGGGGTGACTCGGTCCACCACTCCGAGTCGCGGAATTAACCAGCAAATTCTCAGAAACTTCCCAACAATGATTGGAATCGATGAGCAAATTAGTTAAGCTTAATATGATATCCGGGAAGAGTAATGTTATTCATTCTCAGTGGGAATGAAAACACAGTCTATGGCTTTAAATGATAGGTTAAATGAAAGGTCATTTAATGTCACATTGAAGCCACGTATATTGTGTTTTCATCTCCTAGTGGGGATGAATAGCATTACTCATCCGGCAATGTGTATTCAATGGTATAGAATGCTAGAGCATAAAGATTACTTGTTCGATTATGTTATTTTACTTCAGGACTAATTACTAGATATCGTCTTGTGAGTAAGTCGTTAGTAATTTATTTTCTTCAATTAGAATTACTATCTTTGAGTCCCCGACATTCTTAAAATAAAGGACGTGTAAGCATTCGGATGACAAAAATTAGTGATAATTAATTTGGGAAATATTGCGAAACAGTTATTATCAATTATCAAATTTGTACAAAAACGAATTTCTTGATAAAAATGTCATTGCTTGGCAAAATAGTTCGGACATATTAAGGAGGGAAGGGGGAGTGGGGTAAGTAAAATTGACTAGGTCGCCCTATTCACAGCCAAATACAGCACAGAGACAGCAAACAAGTACAATGCAGCCACTTAATTAAAATTAGCCGGTTGTGTAAATTCTTGTTTGATCTTAGATTAAAATGCAACAAGACAGTAATGGCGGAAAAGAAGAAGAACGGGCAAGGTAGAGGACCAATTGGTGACAAGTTCGTGTATATAAAAAAAATGTAACTATCTTGACTCAGTCAATTATCTGATTTACCAAAATTATTGGGAAAAAAAGTAACTACAGGGTGGACGGGGACTATAAATATCCATCCTCTTCTACATGCAGAAGCACAAGCCTCTCCTACACAGTCTATTCTTCACTACATTAATTTCCTCTATTATTAAGCTTTTGATTTTGTTTTTTGAGTGAAAAGATGGAAATCCCAGAAAAAATCGAGAGGTTTTCAAGCTGCCGGGGAGTGTCTTTTGAGATTAAACCACATTCTGATCCATTTGCCATCCCAACACCGGCCATAACTAACCGTTCCGGCGGTAGTAAAAGATTTTGGATTCCATGGGGAAGCTTTTCTAAAGTGGTTCCTTCTTCTGAAATGTTTGAAAGAACAATAAGCAGAAGCAGTAGTCATTTCTGTGATCTTGAATTTGAAGAAAATGATGATGAGGTGGAGACTCTTGCTGATATTGAAGAAGGCCATGAAGAAGAGAAAATTGAGCAAGTTCCTCTATCACTTCCGCCACCGCCTAGGGCAGCTGCCGCTGCCGGCGGTAAACATAAGCAGTCATCAAGACTCTCAGTTATACTGCTTGATCAAGGGTTGTTTACTGTTTACAAACGACTTTTTGTTGTTTGTTTGGCAATAAACATCACCTTTTTGGTTCTTGCTGCTACCGGGAATTTCCAGTATGCAAGAAATAGGGCTGCATTGTTCTCCATCTGCAACATATTTGCTTTGGTACTCTGTCGAAGTGAGGCCTTTTTGAGAGTTGTTTTCTGGTTGGCAGTGAATGTATTGGGGTGGCCATGGGTGCCCCTTAGGCTCAAAACCATGACTACATCTTTACTTCAATCACTTGGTGGAATACATAGTAGTTGTGGAATTTCCTCTATTGCATGGCTCATTTATTCATTAGTCCTCACTCTAAAAGACAGAGAAAATACCTCGTCTGAGATCGTCGGTGTTGCCTCCACCATTCTTGCACTCCTTTGTCTGTCTTCAGCCGCTGCATTCCCCCTCGTTCGACATCTCCACCACAACGTGTTCGAAAGGATTCATCGGTTCACTGGTTGGACCGCACTTGCTCTCCTCTGGGCATTCATCACCCTCACTATCTCTTATGACCCTAAAACAAAATCCTATAGAGATGATATTGGATCAAGTTTGATTAAACAGCAGGAATTCTGGTTTACACTTGCAATTACTATACTAATCATCATTCCGTGGTTGACTGTTCGACGTGTCCCGGTTCAAGTCTCGTCACCATCAGGTCATGCCTCCATCATCAAGTTCGAGGGTGGAATTAAGGCTGGAATACTGGGTAGGATTAGCCCTTCACCCTTTTCAGAATGGCATGCATTTGGCATAATATCAGACAACAAGAAAGAGCACATGATGCTGGCTGGTGCAGTGGGTGACTTCACAAAATCTCTAGTCACTAACCCACCTAGCCACTTATGGGTTCGACAGGTCCATTTTGCTGGGCTTCCATACCTAACCAACATGTATGACAGGGTCCTTTTGGTTGCCACGGGCTCAGGAATCTGTGTTTTCCTTTCCTTCCTCCTGCAGCCATGCAGGGCTGACGTTTGCTTGCTTTGGGTGACAAAAAATGTAGAACAGAATTTTGGTAAAGAAATTAAGGAAATGATGAGTGGACATCCTAAGGATAAGGTGATAATGCATGACACTGCCGTGCTCGGCCGCCCGAACGTGTCGGAAATGAGCATCGCCGCAGCTAAGAATTGGGGAGCTCAGGTAGTGATTGTCACTAGCAATCCAGAAGGAAGCAGGGACGTGGTTGATTCCTGCAAGGGTTCAGGAATTCCTGCTTTTGGTCCCATTTGGGATTCTTGAATCTCGACCGGGGTCTATATATATATATATATATAT